TGCTGTCTGACTCGTCGGTCTTGTGCACTGAACCGTTGGACTGATGGCTCTGCTGCCCCTTTCCTCCCTCTGCTGGGATACTGATGTATTCACGACAGAGTGGGAAGAGATTTCACTAGCGGAAGAGGGTTCACTACAGGACAGCCTAAGGCCCAGATTGCAGAATTAGATCTCGAGTGGGAAAATACAGGGGAAAAAAGGAGAAGTTATGAAAGAGGGAGGGGGGGAAAAAAGCAACAACCGGTTTGAAAGAGCAAAAAAGAGCAAGAAAGGAGATAATCGAAGATGTATGAAATAAAGGTGTTTTACCCATTTGGCTGGCATTTTTAAAGCAAGAGGCACTTTTGAGTAACTTGGTGAGCGTCAACCTTCGAAACTGAAAAGCTGATAATATGTTGGCTTGTTAAAGTAGTTAGCTTAGCAGTGTAATTTTGCCAGATTAAGCCATTTTACTTTTGACATATATGTATCAGTGATGTTTAAAGACAAGAATTGTGTGATGTGTGAACATGAAAATGATACGCCATGGTAAAATCTGTCACTATTAAAAGGTAGGTGTTGGTGTTCTATGGCTCTGTTTGGTCACCCATCGCTATATTCGCTTTATGGCCTGTGTAAAATAAATAAGAGCGAAAGCCTTTACGAATTCGATGGACACTCGGCTGTATCGATGGTTGTTTTTCAAACTGCAGCTGCGACAACTTTCTGACAGCTTTCTCCAAAACAAAGGAGAGATGTGTGAAGGCAGTAAAGTTTCCAACATAAACCAGAGCATTTGACACAGAGAATATCGTTCTGTCTGTAACTTGCCTTATCCTGTGGCTGGACTTGAGTTCAGCTACGGGTATTGTATCAGACTCCATTGGTGGAGCACCTGAAGAATTAAGCTTGAAAGAAATCGCTTACAGATTTTTTCCTATCCGCCTTCTATACCACAAAATCAGCTTAGGTTCAGTTCAGAAATTGTTCAGCACCTGACTGACAGCTTTCTTCCAGTGACGTTCTTAATTATAAGTAGCTTTCTATAGTATAGAGTATACTGTTTGATAATTAATCAAACAATAATGCCCTCCATTCATCATTTATCTTTAGACTCTGCTCGCATAAATGCCTTTACTCATGGCTCAGACCTAAGTTGATGAGTTATTTCACCGTTTTGGGAAGCTGCAAGACAGTTACAGACACGCGTAACTGAGAGATCAGGACCCAGGTCAAGAAGCTGATAGCCTTGGTTAGTTAATCGTGCTACAGATGTCTGCAGTAGAAGTCATTGTTGCTATCTTTGTCTAAATCTCATGGTGTTTGCCTTTTTTTAGCGAGTGAAGTGAGACTCACAGTGATCAAGAGGAGAGAAAAATCTCACTTGCTGTTCTGTGTTAGATGTACAGTTTTACAAGATAGGTTCTGAGCGTGGCATAAACGATCGGTTGGGTGGAACACTGAAACGATTCTGATAATTACAAACCTGTCCCATCCCATATGACGATTGTCTGAGGAGCTTGTGTTTGTACATCTTTTGTATGCACAAATTCGGAAGGAAACATCTATAGCTTGTAGAGTTCCACACTTTACATGAAAATAGCGAAGCCTGGGTGCGTGCACACCTCTGCAGGCAGATTCATTTACAGCTCTGATTTCTGCTCTCTCGTTTTGCGGATACGCGTACGGGACCTGCGAGCGGTTCCGCTGATGGCGCGGGTCCCGCGCTCTGCAGCTGGCGCAGGGGCCGAGTACCCGTGGAGGAGGCACACGGAGGATGAGATGCGCGCCCGGGCTGCTCGTTGAGGAGGTGACTGGCAGGGGATGAAGCGTGGCCAGAAACCTGGTGGCCCGGGACTTTGACATCGGCGCTTGCGCATCCAAGTCCATAGAAGAGAAAACCCTGCTTGTGAACGGATCCTAAAACGGGATTTGTTTTCCCTTTTTATTTTTTAAATCGAAGAACTTGATTTTGCAAAGGTTAAACTTGGTCCCCGAGAGTTTTTCAGGCAGGAAACCATCCTTTCATCCACCGCTCCAGCGTCATCCCGAAGTTTAGGCCGGGAAAAAAAAGCTGCTGTTTGAAAAGAAACGAGGAATAACGACCACAGGACCCCCTTCCCCCGAGGGAGGCGGGTAACGAATATAACG